TATTTTGTCATTGATCAATGCCTCATTACTGTTAATTTCGACAATTCAATGACAAGTTTTATTCTGGTTTCTTCGAATCACAACAGAAAACAGGATACTGACTTACATGTAATTAACTCACATAACAAACAATGCCAACAATTAATGATTCATCATTAACCAGCATAATGTCCTCAAATTAGGTTTCATGATCTTAAGGGCATTGCCCATGTTAATTTGCTTGCCAGTGGATCTAACTCTTGAGCTTACTGAAGCCGTTTATAAATTAGTTTCCTCTTCATTTTTTCTATGACTGCAAAGCATGGACCACATGAGAATATTCAACCCTGCACTACGAACAATTTGACCTCTGTGAAGTTGATCATTCATTCAAAGGTTGAAAAATGGATTCAGCGGGATAACTTGAGTGTCATCCTCCTTTCCTCTGATAATTTGAAATTCATTTCTTTTTCTTTGATTCTCATTTCTCTTTCTTTGATTCTCTGATCTTTCTCCATTAATTTTATCAGCCTCACCAACATCACAAATGACATTCCCCCAAGAATATAGTTTGGGCATCTTAGGGCCAACACTGATGTAATGAACGCCAATGAAGGAACTGATTTAGCCAACATACCGTTGATCCCTGTAAAGATCGGCATCTCAGATTACTGCTGATGCTCATGTGAATGGCCCAAGTGAGTAAGTTCAAAACAGGGAAACGAGGATTTAGTTGGGTGGCTCAGATTCAGGATCTATCTTCTTTGCCTTGTTGATCAGCCTGTTTGAAACGGCTGTTCCAGAAAGTCCAGAATCAAATCCCGTTGCGGTACAAATATGGGTCTTGGGAGAATTTGCGAAGACGGTTGAAGCCAAGGTTGTGTGTGTAAGGAGGTGGTAGAACATGAGAATATGGAATTCAGTATGGAACGGATAACCAGGGTGGAAAAGACGGATCGAGCTCGCTAAAGTCGAAGTTAGGACGATAAGCAATGTCGCCTAGAATGCAAGCGCTGATCCCAATCACTTCTTCCATCAGGAACCTTGAGAGGGAACTGAGGATCCGCTTCAACCCCTTCTCTCCACCCAATGGTTACACCGTTCTGCGAAACGTTGGAATCAGATTCCGAATTACCATCCTCTCCTGATCCTCCGTTGTCTCCTCCACTACCACCACCGCCTCCGCGACCGACGCCGTAGTTCCCATGCCTCCAGCATATGCAATCTCCAAAGGATAGAGCACTTGAAAAGTAGGAAACATTACTTATGGTAGAAATGGTTGAACCTGAGCAAGTCCTTAAAGACTCCACCTGGAGAAGAAACTCTAGGCAAGATCTTGAAAGACACCATGTGGACAAGAAAGTAAGTAAAAAACCGGCTTGGTGATTCCTTTAGAAAGGAGGTTAGCTTTGTTGTATAAATGAAAAACCAAGCTGGTTCCTACTTCCAAAGAAATGATCTCCTCCAAGGCTTCACCTGCCCTAGGCAGATGAAGCCAATTGGAGAAGATGGAGAAACTCCTCTTGGTAAAACCCGTTTATAATGCAAATTGGTGTTTGACTTTTCATGTTGAGGTTATGGAAAGTATAAAAATTTTAGATAAGGATGAGTACTTGACATGTAGGGATTTTTTTTTAATGATATGCATACAATTTTTTTTTATAATTTTTTATATAATTTTTATATATATTTTAATAAATAAATACATATAATATTATAAATTTTAATAGAGTATAATGAATAAATTATTATTAAATAATATAAAAAATTGTATAAAAAATTATACAAAAATATTGTCTCTCAATTATTTCCCTTTTTTTTTTCATTTAAAACTTAAAAGGCAAGAATATATAGTTACAAGGCAAGATTATGCAGTTATTACCATATTTTCTTTGATTTTTTTTGCCATTTCTGCCACTTTTTTCCATTTTTTCAGTCAAATTTCATTTTTTTTTTTTATAGAAAACAAACCAAATATTATAAATATCAAATGAAAGTGCTGTAATAACTAAATAAGCAATTTCTACATAGACCCATAAATTAAGATTATTATTCTATAATTCTATAATAA